TGCAGTGAAAAGCTGAATTCCCTTAAGGCGCCAAGAATAAACAGGCGTTCTTAACTGGCTTGACTAATTAAATACACGAGTCATCTCTTGGAGAACATTATAAACCTATGTTTGAATTGACCAAGCATGAAAACTAGCTGCATAAACAAAGTATGAAAAATCTATTGATTTTACTGCAACATCTTGTGGAACAAGTACATTTGGCTACCCCACAAAGGGAGGGGGGCATTTAATTTTAAACACAAGTATTATTGAATAAGCGTTTCATATATTTCAGAAGAATATTGCAGAGCAATTTCTATGCACCTCATTTCCCCTCCTCCATCCCTATTATTTTAAACAGAAATTCAATTGCTTCTATCAAACAAATTTAATATTGCATCAGTATTGCAAGTCTTCACGCCACATATTCCATTTAGTTATAGGAAGAGAATTTGATGGTGTAGTGATTGATTTGTTTCAAGATAGCACAAGGACTTTCCAGGACTTAACTATAGATATATTTCCTACAAAATGTCATAAAAAGGGGTAGTTTCTATATAAAAAATGTCTGAATAGTACAATGGAGCTGCCCAGATTGGATTTAGTAAATGGCTGAAATTGTATTATGAGGACAGCATTCACCAGAGCTGAAAGAAGAATGGAGAATGGAATTAACAAAAAGATAATAGACACAATGCCATAATTAGGATCCAAAGACAGGGAAATATTCACTTTATTTAGCAAACCCAGAAATGCAACTTCTTTACTATCACTAAGGAAAAAACAAAACCAAAGACCAAATTAATTATATTTGAGATTACATATATGGGAACATAATTGACCCTACCTATATTGTTTGTTCAGTTTCTCCGAGATGTAGGAGAAAGTGAGGAAATGCTAAAACAACATTCAAAACAAGGATCTGTTGCTGCTAGGAACAAGCAATGCAATTAACGTAGATAAAGCAATGCAACTTACAGCTTGACAGCTCAGAAAATCCATACTTTCCTGTGACCATACTGCCCGTTCCAAAATATATGCTAAGCTAATAAAGGAGAATATATGGATGCTATTTATATGCTAAGCTGCCAACACCCCTCTCCTCCCTTGCCAATAATTTTATTTATTAAATTTATATCCCATCTATCTTGCAGTTTGAGGCAACTCTGGCAGCTATTAATAATGTTCTTCAAGCATTCAAGCTGAAGGGGTCACAAACATTGAGCTAAAGGGCCAATGTTGTATGGAAAGGTAGCAGGGTAACTGTAGCATTCATACAGCATATATACTCCAATGCTCAAAACATTAGGGATCTCCCCAACCCTCATTCGTTCCCCCCCTCCCTCCAAGAGGAAGGCTTGGTGCTTTCTAAACATCTCAGATGGTAGAACACATCCTGCATCAAAAGGTACAGAAGATTTATAATATGAAATAGCATTGTACTATCCTAACGTGATCCTTCTAAAAAAGTAGTAATAATAAAAAATTGAAAAGTTGTTGAAGAGTATAATATATCATTCGTTATTTTTGTAATGAAAAATGCCCCCCGAATAATAAAGCTTCAAGGGAATTTACTTATAAAATGTTTATATTATTTGTTCACTGAATTGAAGCATGAACAGAGTAATATCCTCTTTAAGTTCTTCATATAAAGAGTAATATGAGTATTTAAATAGAGTATTCATTAATTTACAAAACAGAATACAGAACAAACTCAGCAGAGTTTTATGTTGAATAGGCAGGATTTAGAGGCTTGGCAGAAAAATCCCAAGAACACCACAGCGTAATTTTGAAAAAAGTAAAAAATATAACTGATACAGAATCATCTCACAGTTTAAGAGATTATATGCCTGGGCTGCGATTGCCACATATATGAGGTGGTATGAAGAGGTGGAGTATGTACCATCCCCACTTCAGAAACAATACATTAGGCCCCAAGCCATTCATTTAGAATTTCTCACCTTTGTCGATTTAACACAGAATTAATACAATTCCTTAGTATCTTGCAAATTCATGCCTCTCTTTCCCCAACCCCAAGTAATACCGCAAAATATCAATTCATGTACTGTGTTTAATTAGACTAAGTCCACTAAATAAAAATTACCCAGTTAAAGAAACATGCAATTTTGCCCTTATATAGTCACAAACATATTTCAGAATTAAAATATATCTGATCCTAATACAGAAATTTCAAACTCTCACCTTGCAAAAATTAGGGATAACGGTCCTGAAAAATCTATCTTTGGAATTATGATAAATTGTCTCTTCTTTCCCCAAAAATGGTCTCAGGGCATAGTGTTTATATTTACTGTTATATATTTAGGACTTACCGGACTGACTTTTCAATACAATCAAGGTTTCAATGTAGAAAATTGCAAGATAGTTTTGGTTTTTGCTTTAGAAATGTAGAACAATATGTTAACACTGTTTTATTCTGTTACATACAAATAAATCTCATCTCCAGTAATTCTTGGAAATGGTTATAAGTCGTTTGCCCTTGCAATCTCTCTGCTTCCATGAGGTCAAATTAGTCCCTTAAGTACTTATGCATTTAAATATGCAACAGATAATTTTTTTGTCTCTTGAGTATCCTTAACAAGTTGATTTCATTCCTATATCAGCAGTAACTCATCTTAATAACACTACAAAAACCTTTTTCTGCCCAAACCTTTGGGCATAAGTATAATCAAGCATGCCTTCACGACAACGTAGTTTTTGATATTAAAGAGATTGAAGGGTTTGATCAAATGTGTTAGCTTATAAGTACAAATTGTCCACTTAATTGTCCTTTAATATCACAATCTCAGAGAAATTGCCTGCAACTGAGATTCATATTTGTTTTCTTGAGTTTAATAACCATTCCCCCTACAATGTTTAGAAGGGTGCCACATGCCTTTGGAAAATACATTTGATCAGTGAAATCTAACCAAATTTACTTCACAAATACCTTAAACCTCGCATATAAAATTATTTCTCTTCTTACTTCCTCAACGTTATGATCCCGAGAGGTCCTATGCTAAGTATCTGAACATAAAGGATGCAGAGAAAGAATCCAGTATCTATACCTGTGTTGCACAAGGATACTAAAAGCTAGAAGCTAAAGGTATAATGCACATTGCTGTGTTTCATACACAACAAACATGTGGACTAATTCTTGGAAATGTGCATATAGGATGACAAATTGAATTAATGAGACTTAATTTTTTAGAACATTTAGGTTGCTAGTCTATATGTGGTTACAATATATCAGACTAAACCACAGGACTTATTGCTGCATAGCCATACACAGATTGCTACAAGTAATCCCCACTGAAAAAGGGAAAAAAAGGGAGAGGAGATGGGCTTTAATTGTGTGGTTTAAATTTAGATTAAAGCCATTTATTTCTGTATAACTTTTTTGGCAAGTGGAGAATTTTTGAGGTTACAGCTAGATTTCTGAGATCCTAACCAAATATGCTGTACACAATGGAGGACATTCTTAAGGAAACAAAGGTTTCAGAACAGATGAAATAATAAACTTTGTTAATTAAGAAAGCATTCATGTTAATTCTGTTACTAATCCCTGCGTGTGATAGTTTTTGAATACAGAGAAGTTATACTAAGAATTTTTTTATTTGATCAAAAAAAAAATGTTAAGAATATCTAACTGGATTCTAACCTGAAAATAAACAGCAATTAATCCTGGGTTAAGCAAGACCATCTATCTTAATTAAAAGATGACCTAAGTAAAAAAAAAAAAGAGTGTTTGTGTATACGTTTGTGCATTACATACATAACTTAGTTATAACCTTTAATTAGACGGTTCAGAGCTGCATACAATTGTAATTAGGTATCAAAAGAAAATTTTCATGGACTGCATTTTTCAAAAAATGAGATTAATTCTGCCTTGCATATAAAGGTTATAAAAATTACTAATATATACAATTTTAAATAAACTGCTGGTCTTTTTCTCACAGGCTGGTTTGTGTATAAAAGTTTCTCCTTCTTGAAAAAAATGCAAAACATGAAATTAACTTTTATTCAATAATTTTATCATGTATATGTGGCTTGCATGTTAGGCATTGCTAGCCCCTGACAAGGCCAACCTATTATTAGACAGACAATTAATTTTGAAAGGGTCATAAAAAGGACAATACTACTCTATTTTGACTGCTAGGTTGCAGAAATGTATGGCATTTCCTACTGCAATAACTTATCAGCTTTTAGTAAGATGAATATTGATGTAGGGAAGCTGCCATTTGATGCTCCACCTTACAAAGTATTTTCATAAGACTTATCACTACAATTGATACTTCCATAACATTTAATCTGGATCCCAAAGCAGTAATTCAGTTTCAGGTTTAAGCTGATAGCATTTTCACCATTAAAAGAGGAACAATTAATTTCGACCTTTAAAAACCCCCAATACTCCATTCTTATGAACCTCTCCTAAAAAATATTTGCCATATGAAATATCATTTCTGAAGCAGCACTTTAGAATTAATGTATTTCTAAGCTCTCCAGTAATTCTCATTCTAACTCTCAAGCAAACTCCTTTCATATGAATTTGAGATAAAGCTTTCAAGCAACATTTCTGGGCAATATAAATATGACAGTAGAAGTAGAAGATAATACAGAGGTGCAGGTTCAAAAAAGAGTTGGAAGGAAAAAGGGAATAAAATAAACATCAAATCAACCTACTGAGATTGTTATGGCACTTTTCTAAGATGGCATTATTTAAAGCAAGCTCCAGGAATTACATTGCATAAGGGGAGGCTCATTTCTAAGGTAAGCATCTGTTCCTACACATTGTAGCACGTTTTGAATCCTAATACAAGAACTACCCAGAGCTTTCAGCAATAACAGGACCAAAATAATAAAACATTTGGGGAAAAAATAAAAGAACTAGAGTTTAGCAGTTTGAGGGAGCTTTTAGTAATAATCTTAAAGTTAAGAGTGCTTAAATTAAAATTGGGCTTAACATCAAATAAAATTACTTTTTATGAAATAGCATTTTGAATAAAAAGTACATAAAATTCCATTTCAAGCAGTTTAATCACTACACCCACTTCCCATCCACATATTCAAGAGTTTCCAGTTAAGACTGACAACTTCCAAAGTCAAAAAGTAGGGCTGATTAATTATCCATTCATACAATGATTTTTTTAAATAACTATAAACTGTATTAACCATGAGTTTTGCTCTTTTGCTCTCTCAGCTAAGCCCATGTTATAATTTAAAATATGTCATATATATGACTATATCATTCTGAGTTTTAGTTCAGAGAAATTTCATTTGGAAATCAAGGTTTCAAAAAATAGATTCACTGAACATCAGTCTTACATCTTTAAAGGGGCAATACCAAATAATATTAAAAATTTACATCCATTGAAAGAAAAATGTTCACCAAATATGAGAACTTTGAAGATGCCAACTTGTAACAGCTGTTTCACAGAGTGCTTACAGTTATCATATGACAGATATATGAATCACCAGAGATTACAAGGATCAGAAAATAGTTTCTAATCCATAGCTACATAATAAGGACATAAACAGATTCTAGCCAATTACAAAAACAGGATTCTATCTTTAGAACAGAATTGTTATTTAAGGATATTTTCAAGCTAATAACCAAGTTCAGAAGCCATTTTAAGATTCATGAATGCTTCCAGATATGGAATTAAAACACACATCCACCACACATGCTATTTTGGCATAAAAACTCTGCATAGATCAGAAACTGAGTTCAGATTCCAGATTTTAGTCTAACTTACTTCAGTTTATAGAAGTCCTCCAGAAAGAGAAAAAATTCTGCAAACAGAACAAAGGTATCAATACAGTACATTACTAGAGTGCAGTTGATGTACTTGTTACACTATTTCAATTAGGAAAATGTTGCCTATAAAAACCATAGAAAAGGGAAATTTGAAGGAAACTTGTGTGCAATTGCAATTTTGCCCAGAATATTAGTACTCTAGATTTTTTTTTGTTTTCTTTTAAAGTTCATTTGCTAACCATATTTGAAGTGCCTATTGTGCTTTAGCTGTGCTTTTGAATTGAAAACCATTTCCTTCAAAACTCTTTCAATTTACTAAAAACATATGACCAAGCATAAAAGCCAATAACTAGGATTCCAAAACAGATCAAAGTTGCTGGAATACTTGAGTCCAAGTCTAAAAACTGGAGCAGTCCTAATGTAGCATTCAAGAGGATAAGAAATGTCAATTAAGAAAAGAAGATCTAAAACATTATATGATTGCTTGCACAATAGATATAAACCAGCTTGATGCAGAAGAAGAACATTAACCAATTGTAAAACAGATTAATACTCTGAAGCAGTTTCTGGGTAGCATTCTGCAATCAATTATTCCCACATTATCGGCTAAGAAATACAGACTGAGAACAGATCACTGTCTTTAGAAAGTAAAACACAAAAACTAATATTAAACAACAAAATTATAATTTAACAGCAGAATCCATGTTGTACTTTTAAAATCATTTATTGTATGATGTAAGGCTATATGACTGAATATATTATGGACTACACTGAAGATAAAAATTTGCAAAAGCTTTAAGTACTGCTGACACTGAATTGTGTAAAAAGAAGGGTGACAAGCAGTTAAGATATAGCTGTAGTTACAAAAAAAAGTAAATGTGGCATTTAATCTGTTCTAGTGAAACAAATGGCTTGTAGCTAAAACCACCTAAAGAAGGTGCTGCTGTATTTTCACATTTGCTTTCTTCCACCTATAAATTTCTAAGACAATTTGCTGATACCCTATTTAAATGCAAAATTATTGCAAACAGTAATGTGTTAAAATGTCTTCTATCATTTATTCTCAGTTATGTAAAATGATAAGAAACCTACTTAAATCTGTATCCCCCAAAATGGGGATCATCAATAGAGGCCTGGGCAAATAGAGTCCTGGGGGCTAATAATCTTTGCACAGGTGAAAAGACACCTTATAGAAGAACCTAAGGTAAAACAGTTTCCTCGTAGATATTTAAAACATGAAAGATAGTGCAAATTTAACACACTAGTATCACAACACAAATTAACTCCTTGTATTCATTTAGGTTTTTTTTTTAAAAAAAAAAAACTTGGCACACAACATAAATGTGGAAACAGGAAAAAAGAAATTATATATTCTGGGAGAAGGGAGGGAAAGCAAACTGGCCAATTTTGCCCCCATTTAGCTAGTAATTTTTCTTATTCTCCTCTTTTAGCCTTTAACTTACTATAAAACAGGCCAATCGAGGCATGTCTCTGTGCCTAAGTTATTTCTTAAAATTAAATAATTCAAATACGTTATTAAAAAAATAATATATTTTTAAAAAACACTGCTCATGGCCAAACTGAATGGAAGGTTGCAATTATTTCAAAACAATTTTCATGCAATTCCCCTTAAAGGAATTGGAAATAAAGAACAGCTTTGTACGTTTGGTTTTACTAAATTGTGTCACGTGAAACTTTTAACAACATTGTGCACAGGGGCATAGAAGCTTCCCTTATGCTCCTGTTTGATTCTCCCGTCTCTCTTCAAGTGCACATGGAAAAAGAAACTAGACAAAGTTTCCTGGTTTCCTGTCTTTGCTTTCAATAGGGACTATTGTGCTCTCTGAATTGTTCTGCTGAAACTGAAGTCTGCTCCCCCTCTGTGATGAAGAAGGCGCGTTGCTTTGCTGGTGATGGAAAAAAGAGGAACCCGGATAATGCCCCATGACCTCACTGTAAGTTGGGGGTGGTCCTTCCATCCTTCCATTACTGCTATAATTGGTTGCACTTATTCCCGAATTGCTGCTTGGTGGGCAAGGGCCCGCATTGTATACCGAAACATCTATCAAATCGCTGTCAAATACAGTTCTGTTTGGAGGTGCCCTCACGGATTCTCTGTTAAGTTCCATCTGTTGTTCTGGATCCCGAAGCTGCAGAGTGCATGGCCCCTGGTATGGTGGTGGCTCTTCACCATCAGAAAGAGAGATTGTAGGAGGCAGATCAATCTCGTGCTGCACATATGGATAAGTTGGCTGGAAGCGACTGAAATGTTCCCTCTGCAGAAAAGATGGAGCAGTAAATCTGTCCCTGGAACGTGGGGCATACATAATCTGCAATGTAAAGCAATCAGTATAGTCAAAACCTAAAAAATATTCAGAAATGCATGCAATATTTTGTGCATACACACACAATCCAATTTGGTGTTGAAACAATTTCAGAGGGAAAAAAGATTCCTTAGGAGACCGTATTATATTGCTTTACAAAATTACCTAAAATCAGAACAATTCCTTAAGAAAGCATATTCCTATGCAATCTTCCATGTACTTTTCATAGTATTTGTCAATACAGTATCACAGGGAAACTAAAGCTCAGGTAAATGTGCCACCACAGCAATCAACTTTATCTTCCTTCCATAATGCTTTCTGAAATCTATGTATTTACAGTCAAGAGCAGCAACATAATTGCCACAATGCCACATGTGACTTCCACACTACATTGTTTCCCTCCCCCCCCCATTAGAAAATCAAATAATTGAAATTTCAAAATAAGAAGAAACCTCTTGTGCTCCCTCCAAGGCTTACCTCTGAAGGTCCCTGTCGAGAAGATGAACTGTCAGAAGGCCACAGACACCCCTCCTAGGACACAAAAGGAAAAAAAAGCTTCAGCATTTAAGAACTACATGCCATTTATGTGTTTTACAGGTAGTCCTCAATTTATCACCAGTCACTTAATGATTGTTTGAAGTCCTGACAGACCTCCAAAAAGCTACTTAAACTTGGTTTTGGAGTTCTGATGTCAGTCCCTCTTATGGCCACATGACCACATTTTGGATGCTCAGCATCTTGTCTACATTTACGGTCATTTGCAGAACCCTATGGTCATGTCACCATAATTTATGACAGTTTTTCTGGAAAACAATGTTTATTTCTGGTTTTCAGCAAAAAAAAAAAAAAAAAGCCCTATAATGATCAATGGATTTGCTCAATTACCATCACGTTCACTTAAAGACTACCGTGGAAAAGGTCTTAAAACCATGTCTGGTAGCATGGTGACCTGCTTTATAACCATCATGAATTACGACTGTAATTGCCAGGGTCAGTTACTGTCATAACTTGAGGATTACCTAAACTTCAACCTTAGTGTATCCCTACTGAGGCATACACATTTTGGACTTTTTTCTTACTTTGTGCCATAATAGCTTGGGGCTGATTTTGTAGTGAGTGTGTTTTGATCTAAGGCCTATGATACTAAATCTATACACTTCATTTTTATTTCTTACCGAAGTTCATAACATAATTCAGTTGCAACTGACTATAAGCACTGCACATTCCAATCCCCAAATAGGGTAACAAAACAGAAAGTATAACATAATTTAACCAAGAACTAAGATAAAGTATCATTTAATTTGTGTGTGGTATGTGTGTGTACATGCACGAGCACTTGATTTTATTTTTCTAACTAGTTCCTAAATATCTCCTAGAATAGCTGGGTTTCAATGACTTTTCTAAATACCATAGGATTGACACTGATCTAATCCTTGTGGGAATGCTGCTTCACAGAAGGAGAAAAAAAGCTTCCTTCAAGTTCATAACCCTGGATTATAAGACTATTTTAGAAGAGGGATCCCTCCCTTCCAATATGATTGGACTGGAAATTCTGCTGTGCAGTAACTTTATTAAACAATAATAATTAATGAATGAGTACGACAGGTTTCAGGATGTTGTTTGCAGCAAGCACAATTCCTCTACATATTAATTTTTCCATGTACTGTAAGGTGGAACCTACACTGTAATAGAGGCTTGGGAAGAGTATTAAGTCATAAAGATCATGAGAATAAGATCTTCTGCAAACTGAGATGTCGGCGCCTGGATCAGCTGCAGGTGCATTGGCTCTCGAAGGTGAAAAGTTTTTGGAGGGATATAAGGGATATAGGCCAGATGATTGGGAAGGTTTTAATGTGTTTGAGCAACATAGTGGGACTAAGCTAACATATGACCGACAATCTTTGCTGGTATGGCAAATTTTTAGCTGTTTTTGAATTGTTGGTGAGACCATTAAAAGTCGTTTGCGCTGTTTGAAATTGTTCTGCCGGCAACAAGATCTGCTGGCACAGTGATGGATTCTATTGCAAATCAGGGCTGTTTCCAAAGGAGGCAGAGGAGGAGAGGTCCCGGGGCTTATGGAGCAAAGGAATTGGATGAGGCTATCGGCAGGCCCAGAGGAAGGGAGAGAGGCTTTTGGAGGAGTTGGAGATGGGGGCAGCAGCGTGCTCCAGGGGCGAAAAGGAGAGAGGCCCCTTTAAGGAAAAGGTGGAAGAGACAGGATCAGAAAAAGAAAAGGCGACAAGATCGTGTAGGACTACAAGCTAATTTGAGGGCTAATCTACATGGAGCTCCGTTTTTGCCATCCTTCGCTCCCTAGAGACTAAAATGGATGTGCTGAAACTTGAGCTGGCCATGAACAAGGAGTGTATATCGGAGGTGGTGACCCTTTGAGAGCTGTATGCAACAAAATTTCATTTTGATGTATACTGATTCAAAGGTGACAATAAAGTTGTTGTTGTTGTTGTTATTCCGAAGCTTCATCGAAGATTCTAAGGCAGTGTTTCTCAACCTTGACAATTGTAAGGCATGTGGACTTCAACTCCCAGAATTCCACAGCCAGCATTGCTGGCTGTGGAATTCTGGGAATTGAAGTCCACATGCCTTACAATTGTCAAGGTTGAGAAACACTGTTCTAAGGACTGCCTGTTCAATAAGGTGTGTAGCACAATTACAGAGACAAGGTGATATTCACTATATGCTGTGTTTAGTTCTACTGACCTACTTTGCATACACTTTTGATATCATCTAGTTTAACATCATCTACTTAAATAACACTACTTTTGCAACTTACCCTCAAATACACATATACACGAACAAAACACAGCTTCTAACAAGGCTATAGATCTTTCTCCACTGCTGAGCTGAAGTGCTCTCAACTCTAAGTAAATCAATCTACAATTAGCAGTCCCCACTGCTGATTCCTATCCTGCACCTATCAGCATTGTCTCAAGTCAGTACTGTCATCTGACTGTCACTGAACTAAGTCTAACAGATTTTTTTTTTTTTTTGCATTTTGTGGCTGCCCTTGATTGATGCAGAATATAGCAAAATATATTACTTTAAAACTTGTACTGCTAATCTGTCTCACTCATGAGATAAGAACAGATGGACATGGGGATGGCATTAAAAACATATTGGCAGGTCGTGTTTGTTACATTATTAAATCTAAATGGAATTGGCCCTTGTATCTTCTTAGAGTATGAAAATGTTTCTGGAATTTTGCTTTTCTAAAAGTTATACAACTAAAAAAAAGCCTATAGAAAGCAGTAACAAGGAGGGGTGGGTGATGTCAGCAATAACGAGCATTTCATATGCAAAATCCTAATCATCATGCAACGTTACTGTGGAAACTCAATCTATACGAATAAAAAGTTATTATAAAGAGCTCATATGCTTTCATCTCTTATGTCTATGTCTCATATTTCTTTATAACTACCATGCAGACATGAAATAGTCAAAGATTTTAAGCTACTTACATGTTTAAAAGATGACATAATTTTAAATAAAGGAGCTTTAATCTTTGCACCCACCACCAAGAAAGCACTGAAGCAAGTGCTTCATTCCACTGAATACCCTAACTCAGCATCTTCACTTAATGTTTATTTGGGTGAAGAAGCCATGGGACACAATTAACAAAATTACCCTCACAAAAAATCTGTACAAATAAGAGTTTGCTTCCATATACATAGCCCTTTGTCAATGTACTCTTTTCGTCTTAGGATCTGGATCCAATTTTTAATTATAATCAGTGGGAATAAAATTATGGCTTAATTATTAGAAATGCAATGGTTGTTCAGTTATTGTGCTTATACTAAAAATGCCATGAATGTCTACATCTCGTATCCATGGATACGAGATGGGCGGCAAATTAATGTTATAAATAAATATAAATAAATAACGTGAAAGTGAATTCAAACTTATATGAAGAATATTTGTAGCTCAGGGTTGAAATGATGGATCCTTGGTGCTCTCCAAGTTGTTTTCTTGCAGACATTTCATTATCCAACATCCGTCCACTCTCCACTGAATAGTCTAATCTTGGGGAAAGTCATATTCTTATTGGTGCTATGTATACAATCATGCACAATCCAGCACACTATTTTTCTCTTTGAAGGCAAAGCATAGTCCTCTTACAAATTCAAAGTGCACATTATATATTTGTTCTAGATAAATGCTGGAAACTGTTCTAGTGACGTCCACTTTCTTCCTAACATCAATGTTATTGCCTGTAGAAGTAAGTGTACCTTGTTTTCCTTATTAGTTAAAACTCTGTGCAGAATTCTGTCTCATGTGAAACCCAATGTGCATACACAAGTACAAGCCCTCCTGAAAACAGCAGGAAGCTGCTGTCATGTCAATCAAAGCAGCAGGCGGCAAAGATCATTAAGTGTATCAGTGTGAGTTTTAATAAAGGGCGAGCATGGATAATATAAAAGAATTTAGGAATTTGGAGCCAATGGATTTTTAAATTTAAGTAAATTTAGTGTTGCCACATTCTACAAATAAAAAAATGTTAATGGTGCCTGTATTGTATTATGTTTTGTAAAATATTACTAATTCTGCCTAAACCACTATATAAAGTCATTCATTCATGAATAAAACTGAAAAGCACGATTTGGCCACCAAAATCACTAATATGAGAGTTGGAAATTGATTTAAGATGTTCACTAAAACAAACACATTTGCTGACAAGTATTTATTTAATAGCGAAACACAGTGGCAATTGAAAGTATTCAAATAATCAAGATTTTATAGAGTACAGAAATAAAAAATAGGTGGGAACAGACTTCCACCAATTAATTGTCCATTATAATTAAGTGTTGGTATATAGAACATGCCAGAATGCAGCTGCTGGGTGCAACTTGCCATGGCCAAACAAATAATCTGGGATCAAATAAGAGTTTTCTCCTCCACTATTTCCTCCACTCCACTCTACAGGATTATATTCATTCAACAATTCATCTGTTAAACAGACATATGATCTGTACCTTGGACTAAAATAGAGATGATATGAGTATAGGTTAAAGCTTCTGAATCACAAACAAAAGTGGGCATGGCTCATTGATGGAAATTTTTATACATCCTATCATAAAGACTTTCTGCAACAATGAAGCACATATATCTTTGTCTAACATTCATGCATTTTTAAATATTTGTAAATGCTAGATTCTTTCAGCAGTCTTAAAAGTGTGTGTGTGCGTGTCACAAAAAAATATTCACTGTAATTAATATATGTATAAAGTTTTGTTGCCTTCACCAATAAATGGGGTAGAGTGTTATTTTTAATGTTAACTCTAGGTGGCAGCAGGAGGTCTTAAATACTGAATATTACTGCTGCATACCAAAGCCTTTTGTCCTAGATACTGTCTAACTCTCCCTTGGGGCAGAGAAGAGACCCATTTTATTTCTTTAAAAATATTTCTTTGAAGTGTATGTTCATAATACATTAAAATGGACAAGGTATTCTAAGCACATAGTTTGAGAAAAGTTGTATTTGACAAATTCAGGAAAAAATATAGAATCACATAAACAGAAAGAAATTAGAAATGAAAGTGAAGTTTCCTGAAAACCTGAAAAAATTCTGGGAAAATATTTTCACAAGATTATAATTTTATGTTTTCTGTTTTCTTAAACAATGAGGCTATATATGCTATTTTTTTTCCTCTACTCAGTCATGTGTGTTCTTTGAAGATGTTGAACAAGTTCTTGCAATTTTCTCGGCAAGGTTTTCAGAAGTGGTTTACCATTGCCTCCTTGAAAGTGATTGGTCCAAGGTCATCCAGTTGGCTTTGTGCATAAGGTGGGACTAGAACTCGCAGTCTCCTGGTTTCTAGCCTGATACCTTAACTGTTACATCAAACTGGGTCTCATATAGTGCTATATAATGGCTAAAGTTGTAACAAAGGGAATATACATTATTGCTACTCATGTATTACTGCTTTCCTTTTAGTCTATTATATTATCTAAACATCTGTTTTTCAAATGTGAAGTTGGTGGTTGATTCTGATACCTGGGCAGGATCAATAATATGCTCTTCCCAAACTTCCAGGCTTATAATTGTATATGAAGGCTTCTGCCAGGCAGACATCCATATAAACAAACGTCCAGCAGTAGTCCAAACTAGTAAGTAGTGTCAGGAGGAAGGATGAGGTCAGAACACTCATGCCCTTACTCATAGGCTGATTCAATGCACAAATGTCTGAAAGTAATTCTAAAGAAAATGAAAGGACTGGTGAGGGAGCAATTTGACAATCCTGTCCTCCCTATTTCCTCTGTCAGCTGAAATCTGTCCAATTCTCAGCAACTGCTATGAGGAAATGTCTGTTCCTATTTTTTACCTTCCTACTGAAAATAGTTGTTTTACCATTCTATTGCAGAACCAACCCTCCTCTTTATCCCACAATCTAATAGAGTATTTCTCAACCGTGATAAATGTAAGAAGTGTGGACCTCAAAACCCAGAATTTCCCTAGTCAGCATGTTGATTGGGGAATTCTGGGGGTTGAAGTCCAAACTTCTTAAAGTTGCCAAAGTTGAGAAATCTAAATCTGATCTAACACCGTGAGAACTCTGAAATTACTGCTGTACAAAGCTGACAATGGATCTAAATGGATTAATAGTTTGCAACCACACAGGGCAGCTTCTTCACATGATGATTATTCAAGGTGGTCTGCTGTAAGCCTTTCACAGTATAGCTAGTGCTCGTAACAATAATTATGAATTTAAGGGGTAGGAGGAAGAGATAGGCATTTTATCTATTCATAAACCTGCAATGACGTAAGACAGATTTTCCTTTAAAAAATTAATGTCGTGCCCTAGCAGAATCTAAGGGAACACCTTTATTTCAAATATGAATCCATTAAAAAATAAAAAAGGTTTGCATAAGTTTTTCCACAGCTGAGAAGTTTGAGTACCCTTAAGCATTATTAACCTGCAAATTTTCTAAATTTAATAATACAATCTGCACCTCCATTATTTATATTTGATACTTCTTAACTGCCCATTTCCCTTGAAGATGGGCAGTTAATAAGATTAAAACGCCTATACAGAAATTTGGATTAGAAAGGAAACAGATTTTTGGAAGTGTGCATGGGTGCACACATGGTGACCACCCTAAACCGAACATGTCATTTCCTTCTGTGCAAGTCCAGGAAAAGATGCAGGTTCTTTAAGGACTAGCTGATAGACACTAGGAGCCCTCTGTGTCCCAATTATTCTTTTCCCCTATGAAACTAGATTGCTGCAATGACCTAAAATAAATACCCACACAGCACATGAAACCACACCCAATCATTAAAATGAAAGTAGATTGTCCTTATTTTTTTAAAGGTTTGTTTTTTAAGGAAACAATTATATCTGGTCAAACCTACTTTTGCTGCATCAAGATGTTTTCCAGAAGGGAATAAACTATCCTTTCTTTAACCTTTGCAAGAGTTTCTTAATTAATTGAAAGAGCAGTCAAAACAATATATTTTGCCTTTTTGTTTTACCTACTTCTGCTTTGTTTTAAAAAATAAAAAGTCAGTAAAACAGTAAAACAAAAAGGCAAAGTTTCTTCTACCTCACATAGTGTTATTTCTATTTTTGCTTTTAGCAATAGTTGACATCTTTCTTTGTTCAATAGGCACACAGCCTCTATTCACAGAAGACAAATCTCACTTGGGACCGAGATTAAAAAAATAAAGCCTCGATTATGCATAAAACTTGGTTTCTCTGCAATTAGTTCACCTGTAGGAACCTAACAGAATGACTGTCCCAACTCTCTTGGGGCAGAGTATGAGATTTCAAAGAAAGTCTTTTAAAAAGCTGTACAAATTAATTTCAAAAACAACAAAAGTATTAGCTGGTCTTTGAGAATCTTGGAAAGTTAAACAGAGTTTAATCTGGTTAGTACAAGATCAGGGCTGTAGGCTAAACTGTAAAGTTAAAAAGAACATGTAAAGAAGGCATTGGCAAAACCATTGCCATATAGCTGTCAAGAAAACAGTATCAATATGTCCATGAAGTCATCCAATTGCTGACTTCATCTTTACCTTCAAAGCATAACCAATATATAAACACCGTCCATGTTTCAGTCTAGGTATCAGCTCCAGGAAGACAACCTATGTCCTGAATAACAACATATTTTGCTATATCAATTAGCATAAAGTGAAAAACCAACTTGATTAAATAATATGGAGATCCATCAGAGACTATTGCTATTATTTCCTTCGCTTAGCATTGAACTGCCTACAAGCAAGAAAATTGCCACCAGGTGTCCTCTAGCTGTACTGAAGTCCTCTACTTCAGCAGGAGATGAAGTCCTAATACATGTGGAATGTCTGAAGTGAAGATGATTAAGCAAACTGCTACAAAAGAATGGCTTCTTGTACCTAAGGAAAGTGATATGTAAAAATTTAAACTCACTGGTTGTAAAGAGTCCTCTTGCCTCCTGCTTTGGCTCTGCCGACTGATGAAGGACCTTGTTGACCCTTTATAATGATTCAGCAAGCAGATGATCACTACTATCATAACAGTTATCACCACTATGATGATGATAATCTGAATAAACTCTAGTTCCGCTGCAGGGAAAAGAAAAATGGTATCATTTAAATCCAGAACAAATAAGAAACAGCACTTAACAAAACAGGAGGTACAAAACCCCAATAGATTTTCTGATACATATAAACTGCACAATGTGTCAAAGAAAAATACATATTCCGTGCAGTAATGAAAATATTCCCAAGATGCAGAAGACAAATAAATTGTTTATGGATAGTTAGGTACTAAATAGCACTGAAATAGTAGAGATGAATTGTTTATATCTTCAGTATTGGGATTTGCTCCTTTCCAAAAGTCAGTCTTCACCATGTTTTGAGTTTTGATCTGTAATAGTACACATCTCACAATTCAATGTAATCATGACTTCTTTTAGAAATGATTTCATCAAGTTTAGCCCTTAGGGTAATTAATGAAACAGACCTAGATCAAGCATATAATAAAAGATAAAAAAGCTTAACTGCAATGGGATAATTGTTGTAACATCTGATTACCGTATTATACAATTCTTATTACATTTAGAAAGTATATAGCAAGCATACTCAAAGTAAGGCAATAATAGGACTGTGTGAAAACATATCCTTCAAGGCAGAAAAAGACAGTTATTAAAAATACTATTTATTATTGCAACACGTCATATACCTCATTCTATAAGAAGATAGAAAAATGGCCAAAATTGATATACCGTTATGCTATTTTGTAAAGTTGTACATTTTTAAAGAAACACAGTCTTCACACAAATGTTTCCACAAATAGTTCTAAGGATTCTCCTCTGGCTATGTAAAAATATGCTAAGTATTACATATTAGTAATTAAAAAAAAAGAACAGATCACAGAAGAAAACCATCCTAACACTCTACTACTATTACTGCTATTATACTCATATGTGCAACCACCTATTCCTGCTATTATTTTATAGTGGAGATTAATAACCAGAAGGATTCAGTTTAAGAAAAACAAATCCTTAATAGGCACTGCTCATATTAAAGGCAATAACAACCAAAATGATCAAGGATAGCTTTTGCTTGGATCACTGTTTTTTTGTTTTGTTTTTGTATTTCAGTGAAACCATGGTGATGAGAGATTAACCTAGAAAGTCACTGTGTTTTTTTCAAAGTCACAATGCCCCTAAAAAGTCTTTAAGATAAAAAAAAAAAAACCCGGCCCCTGGGCATTATAAATGTTTTCCTTTTGGAAGTCATAATTGCTTTACACCCCTTGGATTCAATTATAGCATCAATTAAAACTTTGGGACAAACCAGTCGCATCATTAATTTTGAAGAATCACACCTTTAGTTGTTAAAATTAACAGAAAAAAGCACATCAACGACTGATAATGTACTTGTTCATATGTGTAAGAACTCTTCAAAATTCAAGCCTTCATTTGCCTACATATAAACTAGAATTCAGCCATTTTTCAACCAAAACATGCCTTTGACCATTGCCAATATGTACTTTGTAATGGAAATGGAGAATCAAAGGCAAAATGCACAATTTTGCTAACAAGTTAAATATTATAATTCTTGCAATAAATTCTGTAATTCACAAATATCTTCAGTTTCACAAAAGGAATGTCTACTTTTAAAATTAATTCTAAAAATAATTATTCAAAGTACATAGAAGAGTGTATCCGCATTTCTTTTCTTGTAACTTGGGATTGGTAAATGTAAAACACAGTGAAGTATTTTTCTGGCATTAAAAATTGCTTCTAATAATTTGGGAAAGAATAAGAATTAACAACTTTAAAAAGAGAATTGGTCAACTTCCTCTCTATTAATAGTGAAAGGTATAAATGGTTAGGACTGAAAAGTTGAAAATGTTGAACCTATCAACATTTTCAATAAGGGCACATGTTCTAAGTCACATTTCCTGAATAGACAACACAGTGCAGGAGATCATATTTCCCTACATATTGTAAGTTATTTACACTCTTAAAACAAATAAATATATATATGATTTGAAGAAATATAATAAATCATTTATCCTTTTCTGCTTTACAAGCTACTTTCTCACAATAATTTGTATTAGCTAGATACAATTTTAATCCAGCCAATTACAGATCTCTATTGCTTTCCTCAAGAACTCTATATGCAACTGTACATTTTATTTTTTTCCAGGCCCTTATACTTTTGATTAGTGACTGGAAGCTACAAAATGTTCTCTTTGATTCTGTATCCTGTCAATCTCCCTCTCCTAGAAGATAAGTTTCAGTTTTAAAAGCAACTATATCTGAATAAAGGATTTCTGAATATTATCTGCATTATTATGAAACAGACATGAGTAATTTTAATATTGTTGATTTAGCTTTCCTAGAATACAGGGATAGATGGAATACCATTACTTCTGCATCTGCCAAAAATGTAGCTTTCTAAACTAAATCAAGAGCTCTGAATATTTTTACAGAGGAGCATTTCCTCTTTTTACAAAGAAGCATTTCCTCTTTTTGTCTGAACATTACCATGACAGGCAAAAACTTATTTAATTGCAAGTGCAAGAAGGGGGGGAAGAGAATCTCTAGCCAGGAAATTTGGGTTACAAAATAATTGGTTTTGCAAATTGTATTTTACAAATTATAAAGAGATGGCTTAGTCCTTTGTCCCCTTTTTTCTTCTCAAACTCAGTAAGAAAACATGATTAGAGGGTATGCGTAAGTGTAAAAACCTATTGATAGTGAATAATTTCTCATTAAGGCAACAATGTTAGAAAAGACTTGCGTCTTACAAAGATTTGCTAAAATATCTGGTAGCTTTTAGGAAAACAGAAAAAAAGTGAAGCTGAAAATAAAAAAAAAAGTAAATAAAGTAAAGCCCAAAGATACAAATCAAGATAATTTTTTCTAAATCCTCGTTTTTGATGTTATTCTAATACATTTGCTCATTGGTTTAGAACAAATATAAATCTCTGCTATACACAGACATTGTCACCAAGAGGCTTGCATTCAAGTGGAAGCAGACATTTCTTTAATTATTATTCAGCTGCCCTGATTGTAAACAGGGCCGACTAAAATGACTCATTGGGCCAGAGGAAAGTATCCTTCCCCCTCCAGACAGTCTGGGAAGCCTCCCGCTGCCGTTCCTTGCCGTTGGCCACACAGTCTGGCCTAATGCGCAGTTAGATCCAGAGCATAAGGAGATGCCACGCTGCCCACTTCTGAATTAGGGGGCCCAGATGGGGTGCCCTGTGACCCACACGTCTAGAACCGCAGAGAGAAATAACCGACGAGACGAAAGGCAGCACCGAGGCACCCTACAATTAAACGCAGTGTTTTCTCAACCTTGACCATTTGAAGGCATGTGGACTTCAACTCCCAGAATTCCACAGCCAGCAATGCTGGCTGTGGAATTCTGGGAGTTGAAGTCCACATGCCTTAAAATGGTCCAGGTTGAGAAAACACTGATATTAAAGGGAGCCCTTCAGAAGAAACGACAAAGCCAAGGGCTAAAGAGCGGGGGGGGGAGGGGGAGTTTGCTAGAATACCTCTGTGAAAAAGCAGGTCTTTCAACCGAGCATCTTTCAAAGCGGTAGCGTTGAGCTCCTCGGCGGGCATCCTGGGGCGCTTCCTCCGCTCGAGTAAGAGCCCTGCTGCGAGCGGAGCATCGCATCGCTTCGGGCTCCGCGCGCGGCAGTCGAGCAACGCTCGCCCGGACTCCCCTTTGCTCGCCTAGGCAACTGCGTCGCGCCCGCCTCGCCCGGCCGACGACGGGACCCAGCCTTAGGCGCTACTCGGCCCAGCTGCTCCAAACGGCATGGTTGCTGGAGAATCAGGGCCGCCAATGGGGAACCGGGGGTTGGCAGGGAAGTCCGGGGAGGAAGAACTGCTTCTCCGGGGCCTTTCGTTCTTCCCGGACGGAGGCGGAGCCCCCAAGACGCCTCCCGACCGCCCTAAAGCCACCGGCCCGCGGTGCCAAAGTCCCCGCGGCAAGACAAGGCAACGCGGACCGAGGCATCAACGAGCTCCCCGGGGGAATAAACCGCGCGCTCTCCGACTTCAAGGGAGGGAGAAGAGCCACCCGCTCAAACAGAGCGCCGTTTATTTTACAAAAGCTGGAGAAGGAAGGAAGGGAGAGAAAGTTGGGCAAGGAGCGAGGGAGAAAGCAAGCCGAAGGCGACAGCCGCTCTTACCGACTTCCCGCACGCAACTGCCCTCGGCTGCCCGCTTGGCACTTTCAGCCAAGCCCAGCGGAGACTTTGCAAAGCTGCTTCTTACCTTCCGCCTTTCTTGCTCCAACGCGACGTGCGTCACTCCCGAGCCCCGGGCGCGGGGATCGCAGGAGCCGCTCTAGGAAGAGCCTTGGCGGGGCTCCCTCCCCGCTCTCTGGCTAATTGGGAAACGCTCGCACGTGTCCACCGCCGGCGGCTGGGCGGCGCGCGGCTGAAGCCGGTTGCTTCCAACAGCTGCCCCGCGTTGCTGGTGCAAAGATCGCCGTAGCCTCCCGTCCCGTCGCCCGCCGATTTCTGCACGAAGCGCTTAGGCTTAGGGAGTTTAAAAGGGATAGTTTGGCTGGCTGCCAAGCTTTGAGGCAATCGGTTGCCTTTCCGGCTTTTCAAAAAAAAAAAAAGAGGAGAGAGGGGTGATAGACGTAAGCGCGTTTCGGCGGAATTGGGTTCATTGACAAGTCACTGTCAGTGTTTCATTGGATGAGCCTTTTTCAGTTTCCTGGCCAGGTGTGTTTCCCCACTCGAGCTGGAAATAAAACGTACGACTCTGCGACCTACCTATTCCGCTCTCCAATTTGGAACAAATAGTCACGACTTCTGTATGCGGTGCTTTTTTTTGTAATAAAAAAAAAAAAGGTGCCGGAACTCACCCATGTCACACAACCCGCCTTGCCTACCCTACAAGGTTCCATCCCAAAAAGGTGACAGAACTCCGTTTTGAACAAAGCCCTGTCTGTATGTAATTATATATAGTCCTCTCTGAATCTTGGACTCGTATGTAATTATAACCTAAGCCATTAAAAGTGGATCTCTGTGAACAGTCTAATTTGAACTCCGTTTAACAGCAGATAAAGAAATGGTTTGGATTCAAAAGACCTAATCAAGACACCCAGCTGTCATTTTACTTAGTATAATCTAGCACCATTTGTGCCAAGTTCTTAAGGAAAAGAAGCAGCATAGCTCTATAATACTCCTCTTTTTCAGACTTTGGGAAAGAGTAGTATTGGGTTTGGCACCATAGACTAACAGGTTTTCTCCTACAATGTCTACGAGAATAGTTTTGAATAAGCACAGGTGGAATTAAAACAACATCCTTTCTTTTACAAGAGAGGAAAAGTGGAAAAATTATCCCACAGGGGGGTCTGAGAGATTTGTAACAGACTACCACAGCACCACATTCATCTTTTTTTAAAAAAAAAAATATCATTGTTTGTTTATTTAGCCTTGTGAGATTGAGCTCTATAAAGTTGGGGAGAGGGGGAGAGAGTTGAATAGAAAGAATCTTCAAATCATAGACTTTTCAAGTATTCAAACAGGAAGTAGCCTTATTGAAATCATTTCATTTTTTTCTTCATTATATTACCTTTTAACTATCAGAAAACTGGCATACATTATATGGGGCCAAACCCCTATAAGCTAGCTGCTAGAGAAGGGGTCTTCAAACTTGGCCTTTTTATGACTTGTGGACTTCAACTCCCAGAATTCCTCAGCCAGACATGCTGGCTGAGGAATTCTGGGAGTTGAAGTCCACAAGTCATAAAAGGCCAAGTTTGAAGACCCCTGCGCTAGAGGAAAGAGAATACAATCTTGAAAAAGCAATGCAGGATCAAGTATGGAAACATAAAGTGAAATGAGATAGAAATGGAAAAGGCACAAGAAAGGGACTCGACATAATCCCTGCCTTGATGCTACTGGTTGGAAGAGAGGGCCCAGGGAAATGGGCAGGCTTTCAAGGTTCTGTTAGGGTAGAATTCCTATAATCCTTGCACTGTCTCTTTCCTGATTGGGCTTTCCTCAAAAGAGCTAACATTTAGGGTTAGAAGGAAGATGTCAGATGAGGTGCTCTCTGGAAAATACTATAAGTGGTGTCATCAGGAACTACCAAGGAATTACCCCATGGCAAGAAGGAAATCCAGGATATGAAGATCGTGTGATGTGTGAATCCAGTCACACTGGCTCATGTCCCGTACTCATCCATGCATCTGAGCCAAGGTGAGCCCTGAAAGAACAACTTTCTCCTAGTCTGTCTGTCTGTCACACACACACACACACACACACCTATCTACTATCCAGTGTTTCTCAACCTTGGCAATTTTACGATGTGTGGACTTCAACTCCCAAAATTCTCCAGCTAGCAACGCTAGCTGGAGAATTCTGGGAGTTGAAGTCCACACATCGTACAATTGCCAAGGTTGAGAAACACTAATATACACATTTCTCCTACTTTCCACTTGATCATTCTGGGCATTAATTTTCATCAACTGGTCTTTAAATTCTGTAGATATCACATGAGAAAAAGTTTTGGCAGTTGTAGGGAAATAGAACTCATTCTACCAGTGTCTTGTCTTTTCTCTTCTTTCTCATGGCCAGGGGAAATGGAAGACAGATGAGGTTATAAGAATATTTTTTACTTTTCAAAATTTATAATTTTTAATGGGCTGTAGTAAGAGGCCTAGGCAGGTGCCAAGGAATGTCTCGAGGGGTCCTGTGTCTTGCAAACACATTAAAGTTGAGGGAACATTTTAAAAAGTAACAAAAAGAAATGTGACTGTTCCTCTTTTTATCATTTCAAATAATATTTTAGTTTTAATGTGATTAGGTGTGAGCAAGTAAACAGATGGCACCAGCTTGAAGATTAGAAACAGAAGCCAGAAGAAATAAGTTTGGAGGGAGGATTTAAAATGAAAGTCAAGTGTTTAGACATCTATATTAATTCAGCATTAAAGCCTCTTTAAAATGATATTATTAATACCTACTTTGAAAACTAACATATTTTTTTAAAAAAAATCTTTCCAAGGCTTGACTTAAAATCTCATTTCATAGATAAACACAGCTGTACTTGATCCACACCATCCACATGGATCCACCCACAGGCTATATACTTCCATGAAATACTTCATCTGGCTGAGACCATTATGCTTTGCAGAAAGAATGAACTCCACCCTTTCAAAAGCTACAGTATTTTAAGATTAAGACTGAGATGTATCCACATGGACACGGAAGATCAAGTTTTAGTAAAATGTAATTTGTAAATTTGTACTGAAATTCTAACTGTGCAAATGAGAATAGTAAGCATACACACCTTATCTATTTTCAAACTTTACAATCATGATGATATATATGTGGATTGGAATTACTCAGAAAAAAGAAAATCTGTACAACACATTTTGTCAGCCTGATTTCCTTGGAAGATTATATATGGCAGCCTATGTCCTTGGAACAACAAAACCAAGAGAGTGGACACAAACAGTCAAAGACAGATGGAGAAGCAATCCACCTGAGAAGTGTTAGTGTGTAATCTCAAAGGCAGTACATATTAAATGTTTACATAAAACATTCGTCTAAAATAAAGAAATACAAACAGCCTACATCTAAATATGCTATTAGAATTGTGAAAACATACTGAGAATATTTTAGATTCGTGTCATGGGCCTGAAGCTACAACACAGTTATACATTTTCTATTCACTGTTTGTTAAGAGAAGTCTTGACTCCCCAACATGAATATTTTGTACTATTGTACAGTCCTCTACTTACAATAGTTTGTTTAGTGACTGTTCAAAGTTATAATGACACTGAAATGGTGATATGATCAAAATTCAGAAGCTTGGCAACCGGTTCATATTTATGATGGATGCAGTGTCATGTGATTAACCTTTGCGACCTCCTGACAAGCAAAGTCAATGGGGAAGCCAAATTCAATTAACAACCATGTTACTAAGTTAACAACTGCAGTGATTCACTTAACAACTGTGGCAAGGTTGTAAAATGAGGCAAAACTTACTTAACGAATGTCTCAACAGAAATTTTGGGCTCAATTGTGGTTGTAAGTTGAGGACTATCTGTACTGAAGAAACAGTATATACTGTATTTAAAAAATACTTGTTACAAAGCATTATTTTCCTAACTTGAATTCTCCTTTCTAACTAAAACATTTTTAGTAGATGAGGAAAAGTGATCACACATCTATTAGATAATTGCCACACAACTATCTCCCTAGATAACATGCCAAAACACCCAACTCTCCAAATAAAAAAATAAGAGATTTCAGTGCTTTTGAAACAAGGCTGCAACACAGAATATATTTTTTTGTGGAAAAGCCTTGCTCTATAAATCTAATGTTCATTTGTCAGTGTTCTGTGTGCTCCCCAAGATAACAAAGGGCCACCTACATACTTCATAATGGGAAAAAATCAATTTTGAAGCTATAATCTCAATATGTGGATTATTTTAAAAAACATTTCTTTATACCCTCATTAATTTAAAAAATATCAATTTAACAGAAAAAAGTCAATGACAAATGTGTGGCCTTAGATGCTACATCACTGCATATACATACCTACATTTTTCATGAAGAAAACACAGTATCAGTGAAAGAACAGAAGAAGAATTACACAATGTCAAACATTAGAGGGGTATTTCTTAGAAAAAAATATCAGATCTTAAATTCTATACTGCAGAACAAGCTAAAGGAGGAATGAGAGAGGCCTATTTTTAAAATATAAAATGGACCCTGAAGCTTAATTCACAAGAATTGAAATGAGGAGGTAAATGTTTACGATTAACCTAATATCATGGATCAAAGTGCTTTTTTGCTTTTTGTGATTAATTTAGCAATCTGTCTTTTACCTATGATGCCTTCCATAGGGATAGCACTTAGTGGACTTGGTTGATTTCAGAAGGATTGGTTAATAATTGGATAGGAAATTCTAGGGTTACTGGATGGATGGAAAGTTAAAACAAGGTAGCAGAAGAAGATAATGGCAAACAGCATTTCCATAATACAACCAAGAAAAACTGCATGGATGCAATCATTAGAGTCAAGCTGATCTACTTTTTCAAAGTTGATTTGAGGAAGTATTAACTTTTTAATCTTCAATTTATGACAAAAATCAGGATTTCATTCTAACAGAAAATAAATAAATCCTTTTTTTCTTCCTTTTGATTTCTTTTCCTCCCCTCACAAATGAGAAAAGAGCATAAATAAATACAAAAACAAGATTCCAAAGTATCCTTGAGGCATTATAGTTAAAACAACTGAAACCCAGTTTAGATTTATGTAAGCAATACAAGTCAAGGAAGCGGTATACTGTATAATTCAAAGAAAGTAAAGTTTCTGATAAACAAGATTTATCTAGAATATTTTGTGAGAGGCACAT